TAATTTCATCACTGATTTCACGTTTGTTTTTACAACATTTATGCTAGAGCCTCATGCTCAGGGGCTGATGACTTCATGGAAACTTACCAGTTGTGGACTTCTTAATAAATGAGCAGTTTTCTCAGGAAGGTCTGTCAGGGACCAGCAACCTGATTTCCCCAAAGATAATGCCACAGGCARCTTATTTCCTCCATCCATTGCTGTGGAATTTCTGTTAGTCTCTACATAGTCCTCCAAGGTGGAGCAGGAGTTTTTATTCTATGTTCCTTCTCTGCTACAGGAAAATACTGCTATAAAACCAAGTACCAGTTGGGATGCCCAGCCACTACCTCAGTGTCAAGACAGCTTAAAGAAAAAGATGGAAGTGCCTTGCTTGTGTTATGAAGTCTAGGGAAAAATGTGGAATGGGTGCATTTCCTGGGAATAACATATTCCTGGGAATAACAACAAAACCAGTGACACAGGTGGACAGAAACTTGGCTGGAAAAATTAAYAGGAGTTGGGAAATAGCTCAYAAGTTGGAGGAAAGTGAKTATTYTGARGGATRGGGAGAGGCTGAAAAGYATGTGCTCAACAGCCCAAAACCATRACAAGAATACMTTCTCTGATCTGGAACTGAATTTAGGATGTTCATATCTAAAYATTTCTCTGTGTTGTTAAATCCATCAGAAGAACATCAGTTTAGGAGAAAGTGTTGTAATGGATCAAAAGTTTCAACACTGCTGAAAAACAAATAGGGTTAAATGATTGAATTTAATTTTACCTTTAAGGAGGGGAAGACTAGAGAAACTCTGGAATTAAAAAAAAAAATGTATCAGCTGTTCAACATCTASATTTAAAAGCTACCTTATACCCAAACTGAAGTTATTTGTGCAGTCTGAACACTGGCAGTTCTTAATATCAAGCTTTTTAGCTTGCAGCCTTACCATTTTTACAGCAGTTATTCCAGTGTGCTAGAAAAGCACACACTCAATGCCACAGCTTCGCTGTAACTAAATTAAGAAGGACTCCTTGGTTTTCTCTGCCCAGTCTGACCAACCTACTGTTATTTTAAATTTTCTCACGAAAATGCAGTTACTTTTGAAACACCTGTGGTGGGAAGACAGGCCAGCTGATGCAACAAGTTCCCCATTTGAGTGTCCCATTGTTGCTGCTGGGCTGTGCTCCTGCCAGGGATATTCCTGTGGGAGCAGGTGTCCTGGCAGAGCAGGGTGTGGCTACAGGATCCTGGCTGTCCTGACTCTGGAATCAGAGCTGTTCTCACTCTGGAGACACAGAGTGGCTGTTTCCTCACAAATACTTCCCAGTTTGAATCCAGGGGATCCCTTCATGCCCTTGGCAGTGCAGTGCCTGCCTGCCAGCCCTGCAGCTGACGCACACACAGCTCCGTGCCCATAGACTTGTCACACACTCCTTGAGGCAACTCTTACGTCTCTTGGTTTGCTCAGTATTTTCCACTGCCTGGAAGGACATACTAATACTTTATGCTTACAGGAAATGTTGGAAGCTTTCTGAGCACTTGTTATTCATTAATCTGGCAAGCTGCTGCTGTAYTAAGGTGATAAATGGGAAAACTGAGGCACAGAGCAGTTAAATGACTGATCTATGACAAACACAGTAAGCTGTAGACAAATCTTAAGTAAAAGTTATGCGTACTGAGTGTAAATAAGTTTAGCACCTCAGACAAAAGCTACTTCTAAGAGGAAAAAATCAGGAAGAATGTTACTTCTGACTATAGGTACCATCTGTGCATGTTTGGGCCACCGCCAAAGGAAAATGACCTTTGGTCCCTGAATATCTTTCACCCTGCTGTCTTTATCTGGCTCTTTCAAGTAGCTGTAAGACATTTTGTATTTGAGTATCATCTAGAGGCTGTTAATTTGACCCCATTTCTCCTTTCTGAGCTTTCACAGCTCATAAAAGGTCAGGTTGATTTTTACACCAGCGAGATAGTCCACTGATTCACCAGTCAGTCACTGGAAGACTCATTCCCTTTTATCTGTTTCCCTAGAAAATAATTTCCCTATTTATCTGCCAGTGAAGATTAAACTTCTCCAYTGCAGATTAGTAAGGTAAGAGGTATTTACCTGCAGTTCACAGAGCACTGCAAAGAGAGAAAGTAACACAGAAAGGTGTCCATGCAATGCTGATATCATTGCTGATGCAGGCAGCTTGTGTGCATGAAACAAGAGAGTGATCTCCAGGTGAAAGGTTTCACCTCTCACTGTGCTCCTTCCTTCCTGCCTGCCTTCCTTCCTTCCTTCCTGCCAGCCTCCCTGCCTCTGATGATTTTCACCAGTTGAGATAGATTTTTACTTTTTTCCCACAGAGAGCTGGTAAAGAGGACAAGAGGTAACAAAGAACTGACAGTGAATCCCAGACAAAAAAAATAAAGCTAGCACATGTTATGCAAAAGCCTATATCAGACAAGTACAATTCTTTCCATTTAATGGAGTCTCTCTCTTTTTTTTAACAGATGCCCTAAAATGGGCTGTAGCCATGTTGATGTACAAGGATCAGATCTTGTGCCAGATGAAGCACTTAAAAGAATGATTGACAGTCAGAATAAACAAAGCTGGTCAACACTGGACATGTGAGCTGGATATGCTACTGCCACAAAGAAAATTTGTTRTGAGAGGTTTTGTGAGATAAGTTGCTGATTCTACAGAGGTTGTGTAACTAATTGTTATTTGTTAAATGTTAAATGTTTCATTTACAGGTAAATCATTGTTAAATGTTTCATTAATAAGCAAAGTTGAAGGTCTGTGCTGTAACTGAAAGCATTTTTTGAACTCAGGAATATAAGGAATTTAATTTGTTTAACTTGTTTGGGTTTTTTCTACCTTCCTCAATTTCTAAAAGCTGGCATTTGGTAAATAAAGCATGTTTTGCAGCATTTGAACTTGTCAGCATGTTAGTTTCCTCAGCCTATTAGAGATGCAGATTCTGCCAGCATGTAATAGTGAGTGCTTTGCTCTATATTGCAGATAGTTCTSTTACTGTCTCTGTAACCACTGGAATACGTGGAGTAGGGCACTGTGATCAAGCATTTTCAGTGCTTAGGACCATTCCCATGTTTTAACACAAAACTCTGAGATGAATTTTCAGGAAGTGTTGCACACTCATACCTTGTTTGTGGAAACAGAAAACAACCACTCAGCTTTSAGGATCTTGGCCTTGTTCTTGTAATTTTTGAACTTTCTGTCCTAACCTAGGCTTTTGTTTTGAAATTCAGAAGTGTTTAATTCAAGCTTTTTGTGCCTGGGAGTCTCAGAAGGCTTTCCCTTAATACGGTAGTCTAGAAGACTACAATTATTTACAGAGGTATTACAATAAATAAATTGTAGATAGTACAGATATTCTAACAATATACCTTGGATTCGAAAAGCAGTTAATCTCATTTTATATAAGCTTCAGATATCTGTGCTTTTGGGCACAGATAAACTTTGTGACACTTATTGCCTAAATTGATCTGAACACATCTAGCAGATAAGGCTCATATACATGAGTTAGAAATAGCCATAGGTAAAAGGAGCTGCCTTGGCAGTCAGGTGGCAATTATCTCTTGGCATATGTAAGCAGAAAATATASGTTTCTTTGAGCTTTGGGATCCTTAGTGGGCTAGATTATATTTTCCTACGTAATTTTTCTGAATTTACAATCTGACATTTCATGTAAAATGTAGCTGAGGTACCCATATGCTAAGGTTTTCATTCTGGGTTACTGTATGCTAACAGCTCTCCTTTCATGGACCATTATTAAACCCAATTGCACTTAAGAGTACAAACCACTTCAAGCTGAAAATTGTTATTTTGTAATTGAAGAATATTAATCTCCAAGATGATTTCATAGCTGAAAAAGAGAACTGAACCATTATTACTAGCACTGGGCTTTTGTGTTCAAAACACTTCACGGGAATTGGCTGGGTAATTTTCATTATGTGGTCTAACCCCTGAGGTCCATCTTTTCACAACTYGACAGTGAGCGTGGGTGCTTCTGCCATGAAAGCCCAGCTCAAATASCTGAAAGAGACTGGGGGGTGGTTAAACAGTACGTACTTGTTTGTATTTTTATGTGTAAAATCAGATCCTTTTTAAAACACCTCAGGTCCCAAACCTRTAGTTTTTAAGGTGGGTCACTGATTTTCAGTGAAATACCACAGTGGAGGATGTTAACAATAGCAGGTTTTTTTTTAAAAAGGAGGGGGAGAGAATGTTCTTTTTTTTTTTCCATCTTTAAGTTTGTGGTTAAATTTATTCTTGCACCATTTCTAAGCAGAACAGTCAGAAACAGAAACTTGCATTGGTTAAACAAGCTGTGTAGTTTCAGGCAGAGGTGCATTAACATTGTCCTCTTGGATCTAATTCAATGCCTAGTGAGAACCAGCCTCCCAAGTTTTCAGATGCAAAGATGTACATACATTTTCCATGGCCACAAGTGTTGCACCTCAAATGTAGCTTGTGTAGGTGTCTGGGTTGCTTGAGTGTGCCTTCCAATAACACATAACATTATAAATGGTAAATGACACCCAGATTAATTCCTACAAACTGGTGGCAGCAGGTTTGGTTTGCTACCTGTGGCATTTGTACCAGTATAGCCTTAGATTGCTGCAATTCCTGATATGGTTCGTTGCCCTCATGTTCCAGTGAGTAATGCTCTGAGGGAGATTGCTCTCTTGGTTACACCTTGTTGTTCTATGTGAAAAAGAAAGGCTTGACCCATCACAGTGCTGCACTCAGCCTGTGTTAGCTAATCCACAGGTAACAAGGTGAACTGCCTGCTTAAGATGATGCAGCTGGGAGAAAAAAACAGAACAAATCTGAAGCAACACTTTAAATGAAAAGAACAAACAGTCACTTATTGCCACACTTAAGAGGAAAGGTATTTTTGAATGTTCATATTCCTGCCTCAAAATACATCATCTTCCTTCTCTCCTTTGCTGSCCTGAGCCAAGCAGTGTCAGAGAACCTAAACAGCAAGTGCAGATGCAGCCTAAGTTCTGAAATTTTTCTTGGTTTCGGCTGAAAGAAATGGACTGATTTTTGGCAGCAKTCACCTGCTTAGCTTTATTATCAGTCACATCTGAGGTGTGAAGAGCCATGTGTATTTAAATAGAGGTAGGTTTCTTTCTTTTATCAGCAGAGATGCCTCTTTTCAAATGTGGCCTTGGCCATCTTATCCAGAAAAAGACAGACACTCTTTCACTTGTGTCAGGGTTGCTGGTGAGAGTACTTGAGTCCCATTAGAATCACTACATAGATTCAAGTACTAGAATAAACTGCCTGTGTTTATTGAARTCAGTGAAGTTCTCACCAAAATATGTGGGGCATTTCTGAATTTAAACTGTAACACAGCATTCAAGGAATTCTCCTATAATGAGCAATTTTTTTTTTTCTCTGGACCTGGAACTTGAGCCATCTTGTTGACTTTTTCATGCTTAGTTCTGTCTTGATAGTTCTTACAAGTAATTTTCCTCCTTAAATGGAAAGATTCCAGGGTTGGCCATCAGCATCCATTGCAGCTGGCATTTAACCAGGTGGAGGGACAGACTAACCCTGGCATCTGGGGAAGGCTTCTGTGTCAGTTCACCTGKTGCAAGTTACAAACCACTCCTGATTCACTGGGGTGGCTGCAGTTAATGGCAGCTCTTYGCTCTTTCATTTGCAAAATTTGGGGTTTGTTATGCAGTTGTGATCTCTCCATTCCTATGTGTCCCGTGTTCCCCCTAAACTCTGCTCTGGAGAGAAGTAGCTTGAAAGAGTTAAAGAATAAAAATAAAGTGCCTGTGATGAATAAGCTGTATGATCTGTATGATTCACAGAAGTGGAAACTCAACAGCAGTTAAACCTTCAAATCTTAATCTGCTTTGGCTATAAGATATCATATGTAAACAGGCATATGTTAACAGTTCACAGGGTAATTTGTGTCTCATTGTCTGACGTCAGAAATTTTGCAATGATATTTAAAAAAAGAAATTCAGAGGTCAGGTGTTTTTTTTCTTTTCCTGTAAGGTGTGCTTTACAAATGCAGCAAACCTCAGTGCAGCTGAGAAGGATCTGTCACTGAAAACTGATGAGAATCTGTCTCTGCCAGAGAAGGTCCACAAAGTATTTTGAGTGATTAAAGAAACACCTAGGCAAATACTGAATTAGAGAAAGGCAGGAGAGATCCACTCTCAACAGCTTTCAGTGGTACCTTGAGGCACAAGCCATTAACACAGCTCGCTCTCTCACTTGAACAGATTCTTCCTGTGAATTCTCCATTTTATAACTACAGACTCTGAAGTTTTCAAATCAGTGGAGCCATGATGAATAAAGATAAAACTAATCAGGCAGGCATCTCATGGAAGATTTAGCACACTTATGCTAAAAGGAGTGCACATTCCTCTGAATCAAGGAGATATTAATCATTACTGCTCTGGAGCTGTGATCTTAATTCTAGAAGAATCAGAAAGACTAGGCTAAGTCAGTGCTCCCTTGAGAAATACCCGGAGCAAAAGCAGGGGCTGCAGGAAGTGATACCGATGACTCAACAGCCAAGGCCAACACACTGCCTTATTTTAGACAATGTCCTCTTGGATACTCATGTTTCCTCATGAGTGGCTGATGACAAAGGTCTTACCTACCTGTGGTCACAAGTACCTCATGACATTTTTCTCAAGAACAGCTCTAGTATTGTGGCCAGGACTAGCTTAGAATTCACTGCAAATTGAATACGTTTCACTGTAATTTCAAGTTATTCTTAGTCTTCACCTTCCCTAAAAATCTTAATGTATGGATCCTGCTGTGTCCATTTACTAAACATTTTCATAATGGATAGTACTCTGTTACACAGTGAAGAGGATGCACCTAGAAAGGGCTTCCTGGAGTGAAAAATGTTAGAATATCCTAAGGACGGGTCTTCCTTTCTGTTGCTACAGCCAAAGCCTTAAGCTGATGGCTTCTTACTACAGGTACAGACTAGTACTGACTGCAAATTCCAAGTCTTCTATAAATAATAATTTATTTGCTGGTCATAAAGTACTTACTGYTAATACATAATATTTCAAACACCCGACGTGGTCACAGAACACTCAGAGGAGAATCCTGTGTGTAGGTGCCAGCGGATTCTAGGCTCCCAGCCAGTAACTATAAAGGGCAAAAACATTAGATTGATTGTTAAGCAAGTAAAATTCTGAGATGGGTGTACATCATCCAGTAGATACCCATGTATGTGCTTAGCCTCTTGATGCATGAATAATCTCAGTGACTTGACAGGACTGCAGTAGTGTGCAGAAAATACAGTGTGTTTCATCCTTTCAAAKCACTGCAGAAAAGGCTGTGGTGGGCTGAGAAGAGAGCCTGCCTCTCTTGCCTGTTCTGATGTTTGTCCAGACCCAAAGACAGAGCCTGAAAGCACGCACATGAATTAAATTGCATGGGAAGCTTACCAAAGGAAGTGTTTGCTTGTAAACTCAGTATGAATAGGATCTTCTCTGACCGCAAGGGAAACRGAGACACTCATTCACTGTCCACTTGTGCAATCAACTTCTGAAGTAAAAACAGGATTTGAGGTTTAAAACCTGAGCCTTCACACGTCTTTCAGGCAACAGAAGAAGCCTTCATGCTCTTTAGTACGCAAAGGAACAAAGTCAGGAGGTGCTGCTCATAAGACTCCTTGGATTTGATAACAACAGGCTTATCAAAAGGGAATCATTGAGAGTTCTGAGCTACAGCAGCCCTCAGAGCAGCTTTTGTGTGGGCTTGAGGAGAGACATCTGAACACCATTACATTGCACTCCTTTTGATGTCACTACGTGCTCATCATGTGTTTTATATCTTAGCAGTGAATCTGCCGCCAAGTTCCTCAGTGTCTGAGGATGGTTGTGGGTTATCACAGATGCCGTTGTGCTATAAAAAACATTACTTTTAGTTCTTYATCACCTGGCCATACGACTACCCTTTGAGCCCCATCTGTGCAGGGTAATTCTGTACACCAGTAGATTATAGATGACATGCTGGTTTTAGATTGCTGGCTTTCAATCTAACAGTAGTTTAAGTTTCATTACATGGCTTGAGATAATTTGTAAACTAGAGACATCTATTTTTCATAATTTGCCTTATAGTTTAATATTAACCAAAATATTTGTGTGCCTTCCCTCTCTCATCTGATAACTAAAGACTTTTTCATTTTTTTTTCCTGTAGCAAGCAGCCAGTTTATTTATAAGTGCCCTAATCTAATAGAGATTTATTCTGTGTCCCATGAGACATACTATCAAAGTTACCAGACCTGTCCCAAGCACTTGGGAAGTGGGGAGATGGTTACACAATTCTCATTGCCTCTGGCTGCTCCAGTTATACAGATAAAGGGTCAGAGAACTGGAGCAACAGAGATAATTTTGTGAGCATCTAAGGAAAAGCAGCTGCTCAGATGAGTGTAAGCACTAGCTGAGGGTGAGACAGGTAGATGTTTGAAAACCACACAACAGAAATTCCCTTAAATAATAGGAAAGGGAAGGTCAGTGCCTGAGCACCAGGAATTCTGGATTCTTCAGTCTTCCTCTCATAGATGCACTAAGCTGCTTGTCTGTGTCAAAAAAGAAAAAAACATATGACGAGCAGTATTCACCTCGCCAAAGTTCTGGCAAATCTGTGCTGGGCAGGACCCTTCCTTCTGCTAGGACATGCCCATTCTGTGATACACATCCCACAGGATCTTTTTTCTGCTGCAGTCCCAGATCCTTGCCTAGCAGCTGGGACTCCAGGACATAAGGAGACAGCGAGCAGTCCTGCTTGCTTTGACTGGCCTTTTCCAAGGCAGGATCTACTTTTTGTAAGGATTTGCAATGTCCTTTGAGAGYTCTTCAGCCTTTCATAACATTGGGAAGGTGCCTGTTGCACACTGTTATCCTTTGCCAAGCATGAAGACTACTGAACTGTACTTCCAAAGGTCATCCCTGCTCACCTCACAGGTACCAAGTCCCTTTGGAGCATCAKGGCTGAGTGATGGKTCCTTGTATTCTGTTGGCTCACAGYGTGWTTTCTGGCACTTGGATAGCAGGACCTACCCCTGGARCCAGTGTTTTATCCCAGCATTGGGTCTGTAACTGTGCACTGGTCTGTGCTCCACAGAAATTTTCARGCCTGTCCACTGGAGATGTGTAACACTGCCCTGGTTCATTTTGAAGGGCTGTAAAGACATTCAGACTCAAATTCACCAGGCACAACTGGGAATTGCCATGAGTATTCATCACATACACTAAGCAGATAGACCCTGAAGAGTCTTTTGGGGGAAGGGGGAGATGGAATAATGAAGGCTTCTGCAGGGAATTGAAGGAAGACCTGCRATAGCTTTTGATTTCAGGAGGACACTAAGGCAGGAGGTAAGCCTGGATGCTTAAAAGCCAAGTGGTATGACCTGCAACAAGCACAAGGCTACTGTGGCAAGTGTGGTAGCCCCATATACTGAAAAAACCTAATACTGAAATGTTGCCATAGTTCTTCACAAACCTCTTCCTGGAAATCCTCCTGTTCTCAGTTCCTAACCAAACCAGGCTTGCATGCAAGCACTGGCAGTGATGGGCAAGGAGGAAAGTTTCAGCCCTTTGAGACAGAGAATGCCATCAGAYATGAATGCAGGTCATCAGACACCATCCTTGGCACCTTTTTTTTYCATTTTGGGGATTGGCCAAAATTAGAAAAAACAAGCCAAAGTGGGAATCAGTTCTCTGCTCTGCATCTTCTGAATTTGGTGGGGATGGAGAGCAGTCTGGGTGTAGAAGTTTTCTTATGTTCTGTACCCAAAACATAAGACTAACTTGAGTAATAATTGCTACTATATGTTTAGTCATAACTTCAATGTTTTGAGTACCTGACAACATGTCAGGCATTTTAAAGAAGCAACAAAGGTTTCTTTCTGTCAAGAACTGCCCCCATTTTGCAAAGACCTGGAACATTTATGATTTTTTTTGGTTTGTTGCAGTCACATGCAGATAGCTGTAGTTTAGTCTAGAAGAGGGGACCCCCCAGTGCTCCTGGGATGAACTCCCCAGGAGTTATCTTTTCCTGGCCTTTGGGGACTGCACACCCATTTCTGTGCTCCAGCTAGCAGGGACACCTATACTGAGCATGAAATTGGTGAAATACCTGTGAGAAAAGGCTGCTCAGGCACCAGGAGAATGTGGCAGGACTGTGGGGTACAATGCTGTGTGTACCTCTGCTCTCTTCTCACACACCAGGTGTTTTTTGGGGGAGCCAGGACGAGAGGTGCTTTTTTTCCCTTTTTCGGGACCAGTGGGCACCATCCTCATTTGGCTGCCACTGTGTCCCCATGGCACAGAGCTGAGGGGTTTTAAATGGATGGGAGGCAGGGAAAATCAAAGATGCAGCTTCCAACAATGTGTGCAATAGATCCCCAGTGTAGCCCTTCTCTGACACAGGAGCTGAGAGAGTGGCACCTTTGGAAGGGTGAGCACACTGACGCCTTCATTCCTGTTCACACGGCGTCTCAGTTCTGAGAGAGCTACAGGGGACACCGTTACACACCAATAACGCCCCATGAGTGCCCTCATGCAGGTTCATTGCTATTTTGATGTGTCTACACCCTTCCCCTGTCCCCAAAGGTACTGATACCCCCCCGCCCCCASGCACACGCCTTGTGCTATGTCAGATCTAGGAAGCAGCCCACACATGCAGCATCCTCCCAGTTAAATTCACCCGGCAGCAGCATTCCAATCATTAAACTTCCAGGAAGGGAAAAGTAAAACAAAAGGTCTGATGGATACTTGCGTGTGTTTTACCTATAAGAGGAACCAAATAAAATAGCGTGCTTTGAGAGTTGTGGTGAATCATTCAAAAACCATCTGCAGGCATTAACGGAATTGTATTTCTGGGAAAAAAAAAAAAAAAAAAAAAAAAAAAGAAAGAAATGCAGGCCCTGGGATATCCCTTTATGGCATATGCGTTTTATGTTTAAATGCATTAATGGGACTGCTATGCTATGAGTCATCCCACACAAGAGTTTCATGTGTTTCTTAAAATACACCAGAAGTAGCTGAAGGCATGCACGGGTTTGCCGTGCAGTTATCTATCAGGAATCTGAGCAAATACCTGCACGCGTGGCATCACCGGCTCCAGAGCTTGGGGGGGGGGGGGGGGGGGGGKCTGTCCTGGGCCCTCTCTGCTACTTGTACAGACCTGGGTTAGAGAAACCAAAATGGAACGGAGCTGATCCTACTGAATAACAATACGCAGGGTCCCTATGTTAATATTAGGGAAGCTTCAGCACTGAATTACAGAAAATTTGCATATATGTCAACAGAAAACTGGAGAGTTTCCTTCTGAAGCACTCTTGTCAAAACTACAGCTGTCTGCTTTTTTTTTTTTTTTTTCAGGGATGATTTGTTGTCTGGTTTTGTCTCATTTTTTTCTTCCATTTACTAACAGTCACGGCTGCAAGTCTATTTACTCGTCCTTTAAACGCACCCTTTTGTGCCATGTGGAGCTCCTCTCAGTCTGCTCCTCACAGGTCACTTCAGCTGCTGGCTGCTGCCTGCCTCTCCGAGCCATTCCTTTTTCGGACAGCAGATTTTTTTAACATGGGAAACACTCGGTGCCAAGTATTTCTCATGGTGCACGTTACGTCTACGCTTATGAGCAAACGCTTACGGTCACACAGCAGCGTGATGCAAACCTTGGGGTGARGGATGGTTGTTCAATGATCAGTGAAAAGCAAGAATGGGGCTGGGAACCTGATGTATGGACGAGAAGCTCCTGGAAATAGAGGTGGCCTCGCTTTCTAGCACAATTATTTAAGGTCGAAGAGGGTCGCCGCCGCCTCGCCCAGCCCTAGCGGGTCCCGCAGCGGCTCCCCCCCCCGCCCCGCCCGGCTCCGCGACAGCACCGGGGCGCGGAGAGCAGCGGGCGGAGCGGAGCGGGCGTGTCCCAGGCTCCCTCCTCCCATTTCCCCGTGCGTCAGGGCCGGCAGGAGGAGGAGAATCACCTTTTTTTTTTTTTTTAATTTTTCTTTTTTTTAAAAGCCTCCAACTACTTTAGCGCGGACTCGGCAGCAGATGGTGGACACGGCCCGGGGTTTCGGCGGGGAGAGCGAAGGGATGCGCCCAGCGCGCAGCGCCCGCCTGTAGCTCCGCGCCCGCTCCGCTCCCCTCATGAGCCGCCCCGCGTCCCTGCTGCCGGCCGCCCGCTGCCGCAGCGCCCCGGCCAAGCGCCTCCAGCCCCTGCACGACGGCCCCGCCGAGGAAGCGCCGGCCGCCAAGTGCCCGAGGCTCGCCGAATGCGGCCCCCCGGACTGCCTGAGCGCTCCCGGCTCGCCGTGTGCCCCCGCTTCTCCCGGCGGCGGCGGCGGCGCGGCGGGTCCCAGCCTGATCGCCTCGTACCTGCTGCTGCCGCTGGCCGAGCGGGAGCAGGTGTCCCGGGCGCTGAGCGTCAGCTCGGGCCGGGAGCTGCGCTGCAAGGTGAGCGGGAGCGGAGCGGAGCGGGTGGGGAGCGGGTCCTCCCCCGGTGCGAGCGCCCGGCCCGGGGCCAGCCCTGCCGAACATCCTCCCGCTGCTCCCGGCCGGGAACGCCCGGCCAGCCCCCGGCGGGCTTTGCTCGCKCTGGGAGCCAGCTGCGACTCCGCTTACCTCGGAGCGCCTTCCCCCAAAGGCTGTGGGAATAGTGGTTGGTTTAAATTTCCTCCCAGCCTTTCAATATAAAATGAACAGGAAAGGTCTCGGTAGCCGCTTCTGCTGGTCCTGCCGAGCCCTGGCTTCCCTCCAGCTCCCTCGTCATTGTTTGGGGAGAGTTGCTACGCGAGCTGCCGCTTTCAACGCCCTTGAGAATTGAATTTGGGTTTAATTTCGTCTATACAGGTGTTCCCCCTCAAACACTACCAGGACAAGATCCGACCTTACATTCAGCTGCCGTCACACAGAAACATCACTGGGGTTGTCGAAGTCATTCTTGGGGACACGAAGGCCTATGTGTTCTTTGAAAAGGACTTTGGGGACATGCACTCCTATGTGAGGAGCTGCAAGAGGCTGAGGGAAGAGGAGGCTGCYCGGCTGTTCAAGCAGATTGTCTCCGCTGTAGCTCACTGCCACCAGTCAGCCATCGTACTTGGTGACCTCAAGCTCAGGAAATTTGTCTTCTCTAATGAAGAAAGGTGAGTGGCTGTCAGCAGCCAGCCCTGGGGTGAGTGGGGAGGGAGGAATGTCACATCCAGAGACACAAAAAGCGTCTCAGGGAGTGGAAGCAGCTCTGTCAGCCGGGCATCACCTGCGAGCCATCCGAATAGGTCCCCATCACGTGTGTGTAGTAGGTCACGGATCTAAACCGGCGCGCAATCCCTCTTAGATCCTGACTGATGAAAGGGAGGAAGCTCGCCGGGAGCTTCCTCTCATTCAGCAGAAGTTCAGTGAAACCCGCTGGCAGACAAAGGGATGATAGTTCAGATGCTCGTTAGCGCCAGAAGATGTCATGTGTGCCACTCATTCAGTGTCAAATGAATAAAAGGCAGAGAGGGAGAGGAGAGGAGGGGGGCTGAGGTGTTGTGCCGGGAAGGGGAAGCAGCTCGGCTGGGGGAGCTGGAGCTGCGAGGAGCCYGAGCTCTGTTCTCTCCTCGGGAGAATTTCCTTATGAGCGACGGTGGGGCTACAGCACGTGGGCAGGGTCTCCTTGCTGAACCACTCTGCTGATGCTGCTGTGTCCTTTGGGGCTTTTACCCCTCCTCCACTGCCGTGCTTTCCATGCCCCCTGTGCCCATGGATGTGGGCACACACAGGAGGGCAGGTGGGATGTGGTTAAATACTGCTTTGGGAGTCCTGCGTCTAAGAAAATTACTTCAGTAAAACTTAGCCTAAAGCCTAGGTTCGTAGAGGAGGTCATAGAATCTAGTTGTTAAATTTAGATTAGGAAAATAATTCAGTATTCCCCTGGAGTGTTTGCTGCTCTTGTAGTGCTTCACCGCATATGGCAAAGTCAGAAATAAATTTTAAATCAGCAAAAATTGACTCTTGACTAGCTGCTTATCCCATTGAATGCTAAAAAACTGAGTAAAAGCTGTAATGGACTTGTGCTTAATATCATAAAAGTGTAAGGTGATATTACTGAAGCAGAAGAAAGGGGATTTTGTTTGTTTTTTTTAACTGGGCTAATGATTCTTCAGGATACCTTTTATGAATGTGATAAGAAAATTAACCAGCACTGCCCCTCTGAAACAGAAACAACCATATGTTGACATGTAAAGAAAGCTATTCCTTTGAAGGAAACTATTGCAGCCTTTTCCCTCCCATAAGAAGATGAAACATTTGTTGAAATGTTACGTTGCACACAGTCTCGCTCATTTGGAAATAACGTGTTGCACAGGCGATGTCATGTGCATCACATTTGGCAAGAAGAGGGTTAAGCAATGGCAGGCGACGCGGGCTCTCGCACAGGTGCAGTTTCAGGGCTCCCGCAGCCAATCCCGGGCCCACGGTTCTCGTTGAGTCATATTTTCCGTTTGCAGAACCAATGGGTATTTGCCGAGGTCAGGCTGAGGACAGGCTGCAGCCAACATATCTACATCCCAGCAGGCTGCCAGGCAGTGCAGAGCCCTTCCAGGGCTGGCTGACGGCTCCCCTGCCGATGGGAGCTCCCCTCACCCTCCCAAATAGGAAATGGGGTGGACCCATCTCCACCTGGGAGGTGGTGGGTGCGGTGATAYGCTCTGGAAAGGCAAAAGGAGTAAACTACAAACTGAAATGAAAAATCAAATAAAAAACTCAGGAAAAGCAATGCTCCCCATCGGTGCAGAGGGGAGCTGGGCTTTGTGGTTGGTGGAATCACACAGCTGGACACTGTTTGCTCAAAGCCTGAAGGGCACACAGTGGCTGGACAGTGCTGCRTCACCAATTAGCCCCCTGCAGTGACACTGCAATCTGCGTAGGTAGAAGTGGCTTGGTGTTCTTGAGGAGCAGTCTGTGTAGTAAAAATCCCCAGAAAATAAAACAAGTGAGGGTCACTGAATGCTGGCCTGATGCACACAGCAGCACTTCAATTCGACATAGCCAGGCGTGCGCGCAGCTTCTCTGCTGCAGAGTGAGAAGTGTTTCCTTTCTCAGTGCCAATGCGAGAGGGAATGGGGCCATGGCAGGGGCTCRCTGTGCTTGCTCATGACTGCGTGCTGCTATTTCTCACCTGTGGCTTCCTCTCCTGCCCTCTATAGGACTCAGCTGCGTCTGGAGAGCCTGGAAGACACACACATCATCAAAGGCGAAGACGATGCACTCTCAGACAAGCACGGCTGCCCRGCGTATGTCAGTCCTGAGATCCTAAACACAACGGGGACTTACTCTGGCAAATCGGCCGATGTGTGGAGTTTGGGAGTGATGCTCTATACCCTGCTGGTGGGACGTTATCCTTTCCATGACTCGGACCCTAGCACTCTGTTTTCCAAAATCCGGCGTGGACAGTTCTGTATTCCTGACCACGTCTCCCCCAAAGCTCGCTGCCTCATCCGCAGCCTCCTGCGGCGGGAGCCTTCTGAAAGACTCACAGCTCCAGAGATCTTGCTTCACCCTTGGTTCGAGGCAGTCTTGGAGCCTGGATATACAGACCAGGAGACGGGAACTTCGGATCAGATTGTCCCAGAGTATCATGGAGACAGTGATGACATGAGTTCCTTTTTCTGCTAACCCTGAAATCTCAAAAACCTCGTCGGTTCTTACCTCCGGCACCTCTGTAGGGTTTCATTTTTCCATGTCTGCAAACTCAACAGCATCTTAAAGTGCCAGTATGGTCAGGAAAGTGACCTTGTCTAAATGAATGCCAACCTGGAGATCTCCACTCCCTAAGGGTAGTCAGAGTTCCATCCTTGTGCTCTGCTGGTTGGTCCCACCAGCTCTGCAGGACCTGTGCAGCTCTCTGAGAACTGTCTGGCTCTTCTGCCTCCCGCATTCTCCTCCAGTGGAACTGGTCACATCTTGGCTGCAGAGTCTTAGCTCTGGTAGGGTGTGGGATGGAAAGGCAGCTCCTTCTGTCCTGCAGTGGTTGCAGAGGTGTGGAGCCCTGACCATGACGTGTAGGGGCAGAAGGGCACAAGGTGCACCTCTATCTAAACAGATCTGACAGAAATGGTTAAAAGGGGAATCAACTCGGCGCCCCCAGCAGCCAGTTCACAACGCAGCTCTCTGACTGTGAAGCACACGTCAGTGAGGGAAGGAGATCTTCACCCGCCACGGTCAGCTGTCCGCTCTCTGCTGCTCCTCCAGCTCATCCCACTTTCAGAGGTGTGAAGCTCTTAGATCCACCTGTAAGACAAATCACTGCTGTGGCTCTTTCTGAAGCAGAAACCAGTGGATCTCCCAACCGGATCCCCTCCTATTCCATTCGCTGACCAGGAAAGCATTTTAAATAGACTTCAGCCTCATGTTACCATGGTGTAGCGTATATAACTTCATACCCTCAGCGAGCTTGTCAAGTGGCAGGTCTCGTTAGCTCCCAGTGCCAAAACATATCTGTTTACCAAACCGTAACACTATCGGCTGGGGCACCTTCCCTTGGAAAAGGATAAGGGGTGTCTTGTACAGTACCTGTAAACATGGCCATGTTTTCCAACCGCCTCAACTCTTAGAAATATCATATCACCTCCTCTTTTGCCCTCCATCCCCCAAAAAGTTAGTCTTTAGAGTAAAATCTCCTTGCTGTTGATTATTCACGTAAGCTGTTTGCCTCCAGCCCCCTCCCTGCCCTCGTTTTTTTTCGGTCCTTTTTTTTTTTTTTTTTTTTTTTTTTTTTTTTTTTTTTTTTTTTTTTTTTTTTTTTNATTTCTAGGGAAAGCTTTTAGAAGGTGCTTAGCAGCCCAAATTGATAACCATGAGTGAGCCTTCCCTTTCTGCTTGCATTCTGACTTCCCTGACTTCATCCTGGCTTCTTGCATCCTTTCCAAAGGTATGTCTATGCAAGATTAAGAAAAACACAGTCCTTCGGTCCTTTTTTTTTTTTTTTTTTTTTTTTTTTTTTTTTTTTTTTTTTTTTTTTTGCATGATTATTCATAGTCTTTCCAATATGTGTGGATAATGAATATATCTAAATCATTAGCTTCCTGAGTTGGGGGTAAGTAAAGCTTAGTCCTGCCTAAAATTTCTGCTTCTTTTACATGTGTCCAGTGGTTTATGCAGAGATGTCCATTCACCTTAGGCAAGAGCACGGCTTCTGAAATGGCCRTGAGGTGGGTGATGCACGTTCCCAACACCACCCAGTGACTTCGARTGAAGTCATTTTAAGGGTTAACCCTGGCAAGCTGCAGTCCCACCACCATGTATACCTCATGGACTGTGTACTTTGTACATWCTGTAATGTTTGGGGTTTTGTTTTCTTGTTTTGTTGTACTTTGTCCTAATAAGAGGTGTCGAAGAGCAATTTAATGTGAATTATTGTTGGCAATACTAACTTGACAGAATCATGAGCATTAAGAGCAGAGCGCTCCAGCTCTCCGTTGCACTAAACCTCTCATGATTGCTTGACATTTGTATCTGTGATACAGTTTAACCCTTCTATGAAAAACAGTACATTTGTATATATTGGTAGAAAATTCTGCCAGAAAAGCTAAAAACACTATGTTCAATTTGTACATATGTATATGTCTGTGGAATCCTGGATGATAAAGTCTGACTTGTAGAAAGTTTTAATAAACTTGGTTTCATAATGTTTGTCCCCATTTCTTGTGGCATCTCAGGCRGAGTGCAGTTCAGTGTGTTTGGTTTAATCTGAAAAAATGGGGTTTGGCCTCAGAGACTCAGCTCCTTTATGGTCTGTATATGTGTTCCATCATGCCTTAGCCTGAACTCCTCCAAATCAGCCTGGGGTTGAATCCCCAGGGGGAGTGAGGACAGGGAATGGATCCAGCCACTTGTGAGGTGGAAAGGGCTTGGGATGTCCCCAGGCCCTTGTGAAATGGGTATCATACTCCTCTGATTAACAAGGGGGAGAGGAGTTACAGCTCTGCCTCTGAACTTTAGAAACCCTCCTGCCTTTCAGTCCTTGCATTTGTTTCCCTCTGTGCCCTGTGAGCAGAAGATGCTGTGGGGCAGCAGGGCTGTCATCCTGCACCTGTGTGCCTGGCAATGTGATGCTCCAGCCAGTGGAAAATCAGATCTCGGATGTCTAAAAGTGAGCAGCCAGAAGGAGAGGCAGCAGCCAMGAGCATTGGTGTTACAGGGAGCTGGAGCTCGTGGGCAGAGGCTTTGACCCCGCTGGGAGGCAGCGCAGAGGCTGCACGGTGCTCTCATTAAAAAYGAAGGGAAAGATTATTAGAGCTGCTTTTCTTTGTGGTGAGAAGAGAGAAGTATAAATAGCTGCAGTATCAAGGTTAGGGAATGTGCTTTCCTGAAASAGATCAAGCCACCCTTGCAATCCACCCGGAGCGGTGAGATCATCGCTCACAAGTGGAAAGGAGGAGGAAGAGAGTCTTGGTTTTTATTTATACTTTGCCTCATGTTTAACTTTGTCCTTTTGCTTGAAATCTGTTCAGCAGAGCAACTGCTTCTAGGCAGCTCCTTGAGCAGGAGGAACTTTAAATACAGCTTTGCTTTTAGAAGGGGAGTGGAAAGCAAAAAGGAAGGAACAGGGACCTGGTCAGCGATAAAGCAAAGTGCACTGACTTTCATTAGGTACCTTGACTCCCACTCTGAGAAGCCAGGGATCTGTGCAGTAAGCATATTTTCTTAGCACTTGCTGAGTGAATGTCAGACACCAAAATATCTCAAGTTACTTTACTGATGTTATTCTTGCAAGACTTGTAAAAATATATGCACTGCATAGCCTGCCTGATTAAATTAYCCCCTGCCCTACCATGCTTTCAGGCTTGGACAGAAGCCCCACTGCATCCTTTCAAAACAACTGCAGGAGGCTCGTATTTTAGTGAAACYTCAAAAACTTTCAAAACACTTCTTTCCCCCCGCCCCTTGCAGTTAAGTCACCCTTAGTAGGTGAACACGTAGGTCATCCCGTGACTTATTTCACATGAGTTACGCTGCAGAGCAATTAAAATAAACGTCAAATTGTAGTAACATCTGCAAACAGCCTCTGTATTGCTTTAGGGATTATAATGCAACATCCGTTTGTACAGCAGAATAAATTGCTATTGCTTCGTTACCCCATCGTTTGTATTATTGTATACAAAGTTTCAGAGCGTGTTGAAAGAACCAGCATATTAAGTGATTAAACTTTGATGGTGGGTGTGAGAACTTTGATTTATGCAATGCATACATTTCTTTTTGAGAGAGTCATAATTTGTCTATTTTTAAATGGTCCTTTTGGCTGAGGACCATATGAATCTCTTATGTATTTTGCAGACCTGGTCACCATTTTCTCCTTGAAGCTGCCCTCTCTGAAAAGTGCTGGAGCCTTCAGTCCTTCTCTGTTGCTGCTAAAAACACAGGAAAAGCTGAGGTTTTTCACAACATCCTGGTCTCCATCCTAAGCCAGCATTGAACCACCTCCCTTATGTCTAAATACGTCCTAAATATGTATTTTTATCAACTCTCAATACTTCAGCTGCATTTTAGGCACCGGTTCAATGATTTTCTTTTGAAGTAGCACAGCAGAATTTATAAACCAGCTTCCTCTGAAAGTGCCAGGTAAAACAGCCAGCTCAGCAAGCTCAGGTTTAAGGTCAACATCTCTGCCAAGCAGGTGATACTGCTGAGGTTATTTGCAGTTAAAAAGGACTGGTAGAGGTTCAGCTCCACCTATGCTAAACAGAGCCCTGATTTTARGAGAACACCTTCAAGCCAGGCAAAGGCACTCGTGCATCAGTGTAGTATTTATGAAAGAAAAGGGGTGAAGGAACAGGGTTATTTTACAGATGTACAAAAGGAAGATTCATTGCCCTTGGCTGGATCACAAAGCCTGTGCAGTGCTCTCCTCTAGGTCTGCTTTAATGCACTGAGGGCAGGCCTGACAGATAACCTGAGAAACACATTTCATTCCAGCASAGCTGAGTGCACTCCATCAAGCAATTCTCTACAGGTTACCTATACAAAACCAGATTTTTTTTTCCCTACACTTTTCATGCTATTGCATTCTGTTAGAGAAAAAAGCCCAACACTCAACATTATTGCAGTGCTCAGATTTAGCGGCACAAAGAAATATCCTATGCAAATACTTCTTACAAAGATGTTTTTCTAGCAAGCATTGAGAAGAATAACTTGACATACAATCAGGTCTGAATTAATCCCTTGCAAAAAATGGCTTTCTTAAATGCACCGTGTCTCAGAAGTATTGTTGATAAAAGTACTGTGAAATTTGCAACAGCTCTTGCCATGATTCCTCCATAACTTGCAAAATCCTTTTCTCCAAGTGAAATCCAGAGTTCAGATTTCAGACAGAAACAACTTTTCTTGCAGCAAAATGACAAATCCTTCAGGATATGAGTTCACAGCCGCATCTTTTTTTTTTTTCTTTTTGTGAAGCCAGCTATTTAGAAAATGCCTTAAAGAAAACTCATTAGTTTTCATTGCCCTGCATGTATTTATTTACAGTATTTAACCAGCTAAACAAGCTAATGTGCAGCACTTCATTTCCTAATTTGGCTTTGAAACTGGAGCAGCCGAAGTATCAATTACATTCTGTCAAATGCAAACATTAACATAACTGTATGAAGCAATCATGTTTCTAACAACAGCAAGCACTGCCCAGAGGACCAAAATAAATAAAATTCATAGAGCAAGAGGTAACGCTTTTCTTTAAGGCAGGATTAGGGCTGGTGAGCGCTTCCCTGTGCGGGGCTGAGGTGGAGATGATTAACACGGCACTTGCTCACCAAGGGCACGGTCTCATCACGGCGGGTGTGGATTTCTGCATGCAACTCCCACTGTTATTAATGGTTAATTAATGTGTAATTTGCAGAAAGRGATGAAACTGGGACCTCGGCGGTGTGTTGTGAGCACACAGACACACACGGGCTTATCATTCGAAGAAATATCAGGGTGACACGGAGGGTGGATGACAGAAAATAAGTGTGGCATGAATCAGCTGCCCCGTGTTTATGATACGGCGCTGTTGTGGGAAAACATTCACCTCCACCAACTACCGTCTCCTGCCAACAACAAAAGTTGAGTTTGATAAATTATTAGTGGAGATGTTCTCAGTGGCTTTGCTTAGATTTTACTCCTCTTGCGCAAATTGCAGATTAGGAAAGGATTAAGTAACAACAGTGTGGCTAAAGTATTACACATCACGCTGGCAATTTGCCAAAGAATGTAGCATGCAAAAGCTGACATTGCCTAAGAAATCAAATATAGCTCTGGTCACCACAGAAAATGACTCTTCCCCACCACCCAAGGTAGTTGCTCAGTTTCTTTCCTGTTTCACACAGAGTCTTGCACCAGCTAATTATTCATTACAGAACTTTATTTGCCTTTTAATGATTTTCTTTTTTATTTTTTAACTTTTCTTAACTTCCTGGTAGTGAAAAAGCTATAAACATTTAGATGAATCACAGAAACCATAAATGTAATTGAATGTAAATCCATTGTTGGGCCCTGTGATAACATCCCTGTCAAGCCTCAACTTGTCAGATTTGCAGTCTCGCTAAGGCTAAAATACCACGAGTTTCCTTTGCTGTGCTAGCAACTGGAGACAAAATACCCACAGAATTTGGGGAAAAAGGCTGTGCAAGACTCRTACACCCAATCACAATGACTTTGCAGTGGGATACCTGGTGTGAGCAAGTGTTTCTCTCAGTGAGTAAAGGCAGCAGAATTAGGCYCACAAAGTTCAGCCTCTGTTACAAAGC